GCCGATAACAAATACAGACACCTTCAAGTGGATAAGGAGCTCGACGCGACTGCTGCAAGTCAAGGACTATCATATACCATCGATAACCCGCCACTACAACGCCCTCATCAGCAACCATGACCATCGACAGTCACCACACAAATCGCCGTCCTGTCAACCGCACTGAACAGGAGGGCCCGTGGAGTGTGAGTGTCGCAGAAACGCCACACGACCCATACTCCTACAGTATTTACATAAAGAGTGAGTCTATTTCCCCGTTGCGAGTTTCATTCCCGATCTTCTTTGTGCCATCACCACTTTCATACTATCCTTCTTGCACAACCGTATGATCATATTTGCTTCACGTACTCAACTTTGCCTGTGCTTTCCTTTCAGCTCCAAACCACAACCTCACTCTCACTCGGACGGTCAAAGAAATCGTTGAACTTGATCAAAAGCTTCGGGAGTCCTATCCTGGTGTCAAAGTTCCCGAGCTTCCCATTGGCATGCAGTCACTGCCTCCGCCGACGCCGAAACGCAAGTCAACTTTTTTGAACACTCTGTCTCGTCTTGCCTCTCCTTCATCTGTAAAGACAGGCCGTCGTGGCGCCAACGCCAGTGTCAGTCCATCGGTCCTTCCTACACCTTTGACTTCGCCCTCAGGAGAAATTAATGACCCTTTCACTAATTTCAATGCCACGACCCCGGAATCCGCTCCTCCTGTTTCCCCTTCTGCCAACAGCACAAGTCTTGCATATTACCTAACAACAATCTCGAATACGGTCGGTCTTCGTAATGCTCGAGTTTGGAAGCGTTTTGTTAGAGTTCGGACCGACGATCTGGAAAGTGTTCGCGTCGAGCGCGCGATCAAGAGGGTACGGTCGGATCTTGCTGCTCATTTGGGAGGTATGGCAAAGGAGAAGGAGAACGTGCATAAAGTCGCCATTAAGGCTGATTCCATCGTGGCCCCAAGCGAGGCAGGAGTTGTCCTCGAGGAGCAGGTCAACGGAAGTGAAGCCCACCAGGCCGTCGATCAGGCCCAGACTATTGAAGAAGTCGACATGGCTTCAGCCGAAGTCAATGAGCCTGCGCCTGGTCCTCCAAGCGATACCATTCCCGATGATGTTCCAACGGAGACGCCACCGTCGACCGACGTCCCGGATTCCGACTCTGGACGGCCTATACAGGAATTCGCTGGAGACGAAGATGAAATCATCCTCAGGCCTGTTGAAGAGGTTTCGACTCCCGTGGTCGCCGAGGTGATCGCTCGGATCCCACGCTCTCACTCAGTCGACTTTGACAAGTCCCGCATGTCCCGTGTGTTCGTCAACTCCACCCCCAGTCATGACGGCACCTATTCGCAGACAGGTGATGAGTCTTCAGCGTCTACGACCGGTGGCAGTGTTTCCAAGCGCAAGAAACGTTCACGATCGACGATGCCTAAAGAGCCCCGGAAGTCGCATAGGAAAGTGGTCATTGATGACTTTGAGATGATGAGGGTTCTTGGAAAGGGTTGTGCAGGAAAAGTCTTGCTCGTCAGGCATAAGACAACATCAGACTTGTATGCGTTGAAGGCCATTACCAAGAGACATGTGTTGGCCCATCAGGAACTGCAGCACACACTCACGGAGCAGGCAGTATTGAAGAGAATGTCGGCCGAGTCCAAAGACCCTTTCGTTGTGAAATTGTGGTGGAGTTTCCATGATAAAGAGAATTTGTTCTTAGTCATGGTGTGTCTCTAAGGGGTTCACTGTCGAACAAACTTAACATTCTTTATTTTTTCAAGGATTTCCACCCTGGAGGCGACTTGGCTACGCAACTTGCAAGATGGGGACGCTTGGGTCGTGATCGTGCTCGTTTCTACGCTGCCGAAATCGTTGAGGGCTGTGAGGGCCTCCATGCTGCAGGTGTCATCTACCGTGATCTCAAGCCCGAGAATATCCTTATTGGTTCGGACGGCCATATCGTTCTGACTGATTTCGGCCTGTCGAAGGAATTCCCAAGGAAGGCTAATCAAACTGCCCACTCTACACCTTATGGATCGCGCGAGTTCTACTCGTCAGTTCCCGGCTCTCCGCAACCAGCTACTCCGCCGTGGATGAGGATTGACGCCGCGGGCGAACTTGCGATTGGATGGCCCGGGCAAACAGCTGGGCACACCGACCAAACGGCCACGTTTTGCGGTACTGCGGAATATCTTGCTCCCGAGGTGATCCAAGGATTGCCATACAGTTACGAAGTCGACTGGTGGAGTTTCGGGACAATGCTTTACGAGATGTTGACCGGTATTGTAAGTCTAAACTCTCTCCTATTATATTAAGACGAATGAGCATTGATGGTGTCATTTTTTGCCCTGTAGACACCGTTCTGGGCCAACAACCATTCAGACATGTATGTTCGAGTCTTACAGGATGAACTGCAATTTCCAGAGGATCGAGCACTCGATCAAGACACAAAGAGTCTCATTCGTGGAGTAGGTTTTCGGCGCTATCAAACTAGCGACTTTTTTGTTGACATCGATTCTCTAAGCTCCTTCAACGAAATCCTGGTCTCAGAATATGTGAACCTCGGATAAAGAAACATCCATATTTTTCAATGATGTGCGTTCCTTATCTAGCTGTACCTTGACGTTTCTCATTCAAGTCTACAGAGATTGGTCGCATGTGTACTATAAACGCTATATACGTACGTCTGAGCATTAACCTCTTGGTTCTGGAACAGATGTTCAGTTCACCATCCCTACAGCCCCCTATATCCCCCCCATTGATCCGGCTAATGCAGGCGACACACAGAACTTCGACGACACCTTCCTTGTCATGGCACCTGTCCTTGATGAATACCTTGATGACCAGATCGATACGGATCAGGAGCCGGAACATCCGGACACGGATCGCACTGACGACGAGTCTAACACCACTCCCTCCCAGTCACGAAGCTCTTCCATTCGCCCGCAGTACACGGCAATACCTGAGGATACCGTGGATGTTTTTGACGGTTACTCATTCAAGGGCCGCCATTCTTTGCTTCTTGACGATGAAGATGACGAAGACAGCAGTAGCTCGCAAGGAGGTAGCGAAGAAGACGAAGACGAAAACGAAAACGAAGAAATAATCCCGATTTTCGAGTCTATCGAAACGACGCCTTCAATCGACAGCGTGATTGCAGAAGACGTCAATGCTGAGGTTCAGGAACCAAAGACTCCTGAAGCTCGTCCTGTCGTTGTCGTAGAGGTAATTCATGAAGACATTCCCGCGTTGCCAACTCAAGAAATACCCTTGGCCCCAACGTCCTCTGAGATCGAGCCCTCAACAGTGACCGATACGCTAGAAGAACAAGCCAAATCATCCAAACAAGTCATGCCAGCGGAGGAACCCAAATCATTGGAGGAATCCAGACCAGAGGAGCCCAAACCATTAGAAGAGCACGAATTGCGGAAGAGCAAGGAATTACCTACACCTGGACCAGAAGAGACAATTCCCCCAACAGTGCCGGATAAAGAGGTCAAAGAGATTAAAGAAACAAAGATGAAACCTACGTTCTTGGCCAAAAGTACAGCCGTGCGTGGTATCGCCAAACTTGGTGGCAGAAGTCGCAGAGAAAAATCTGGTGTCCCCGCCCTGGATCGTTACCTCTCCGATGGCGGCGACGAAACCGAGGTCACCGAGCGCGAGGAAGATGAGGATGACGACTGGGATTTCATTGATGCTGTTGATGGTGAAGACCGCAATGGAGCTAAGGGTACCAGCCTTTTTGCTCGTGGCGTGGTCGACAGGTACAGGTTGGCCGTGTTCAGGATAGCGTCGACGCCGTCTCAACAACGCTCTGGGCCACGGTCGTTCTCAGGCTTGTCGAAAAACTCGGAAACGAATCCGTCAGAGCCCGCGGATTCGCCCAGTCCCTCTCAACGACGCGGACGGACACCGCTCAACTTTCGCAGACATCCTGGACAGTTCTTGCGTGCCAAGTCTCCTGGCATCCCATCTTCAACGTTCTCAACCAAGTCGAGTGGGACCGCTAAATCCTTTGCTTCTGCTTCCAACAGCCTCTCCTACACATCATCAACGGGAGGATTGCTGACGCCATCGCCTTCGACCTCTCACTCGCTCAAGTCGAAGGAATCGGCGCTGTCTATTGGTAAACAGAGCTTGTCTTCTGACCAGTCAGGCCCTGGAGAAGGCACTGCAGAGGCTCCAGGGGAGATGGTCAGGAGCAGGCCCCTCATGGGAGAGCTGGAGAAACAGAAAAACAGGAAGCTCAAGAAGTACAAGGAAAATGCAGAGAAGGTGTTCTCACTATTCTCATCACCTCGCCAGCAATTGTAATCAAGATCATTGACACTGCTTTCGCATTGCATTTGCTCTAACTTTTCTTTTTCTTTCACGTTACGTATATGGGGCTCACTGGACAATCAAGTACGAAAACCAAACTTTTTGTATGCCATCTTCAAGGTCAGACTATCATATGCTTTCGAACTATTTTATCGCCATTTATCCCATCGGCCACGCTCCTTTCCAGTCCATTCTCCATCATTTACATGCATAGTTCCTAGTGTGGTTGCGCAACGCATTACCACATACATATCTCCCTGTCCTTACTTATACCAAGTGTTTTGTCATCGCAGAACAACCCACTAGATCGCTCCTTCTAATGCCTCATTTTGCTTGTGGAATTACTTCTGGCTGGAGGTCCTGAGTTATGACCGGAAGATTTCAGATACGTGTGAAATATCAGGGCGTGTGGTGCA